GTTGTAAAGAGTTTGCGTCGAACAGTAGAAGATCAGAGAACGAAATAGTCGAAATAGATATACCAGGGGTCGGTTGTAGTTGTACGAAGGCTCAAGGCTGGATAGCGCTAACCACCGGCCAATAGTGATTTTCCAAACGTTCTAGGCTCAAATTGAAAAAGCGATAAAATTTCAACTTTGGAAATCCTCGATTTAGAGGATCCTCGATTTAGGAATACTAAGATTTGATCATAGTTATAGAAAACAACTGTTGATTTTATAGGGATTGAAAAAACACTATCCACTTATCCAGTGGATACGCTATCCGGCTTTCATACAACCGGCCCCAGATAGATAGACCTCTGAGAGACTGAATATAGGCATTACATTGTTTGAAGTAGCCTTTTAATCAACGACAAACGAAGGTGTCGTGTGACAAGCAAATCCGATTGTGATCGTGATTCACTGGGGGCGGTTGTGAAAAGCTGGATGCGCTATCTACCGCCAGATACAGATCAACGCACTTCAGTTTCCACTTGCAATTTTTGTTGTTATTTTCGGTCTGAGGCCAAGTTCATACGTCGCATTTTGGTCACGTCGACTGCAATTCCAACAATAAATAATGAGATTGTAACCATAATTTAGCCTCATCCAAATGTGACGTATGAACTAGGCCTGATTTTCTTCTTTCATTGATGAATAACAGTGAATTATATATTAAAAGTTGCATTCAGTTATTGCATAGAGTATAGAGGTCGGCTAAAAAAAACGAGCGCGCGGGGGTGTTTGGGATGATTTACCCAAGCACCCCGCGCGTGGCTTATTTTCAGCTCACCTTTATACAATAACTGAATGCAACGTTATATATATATTTTACTATCAAAGCGCCTGGGTACGAGAGCGCCCCTTCATTGAGCATCCGTAAATTATCCATGCACTCGTTCACGTATTTTGCTGGAAGAAGTGTCAAGCTCACTGGTGTCAACAGCAGCCTCGTACCCAGGCGCTTTTATAGTAAAATCAATGAGTAAAATATATAACGTTGCATTCAGTTATATGATAGTTATTGCACTGATGAAGGTCCGGGTTAACGGACCGAAAGCTTTGCAGTATTTAATACTTACGTGGTGTACTTACAAGTTATTATAATTATATGATAGAGGTCAGTTGAAAAAAGGCGAGCGCGCGGGGGATCACTGATCTGCAATATCTAATTTTAGATTGTTTCATAAACCCCAGATGGTTTTAATGTTACATCATCACCATCAAATTGCTTCCATACATGAACCATGTTCACGACATACTTGGCACAGTTCCTTACGATGATCCACTGGTTTTGTCGCTCCTGCAACCTCTTTCAGCTTCATTTTATTCAGTGGACAAAGCATTACTGGAAAACATCGAACTAATTTTCCCCTTTGATCAAAGCACCAATTGCAACCTTGCCATTTGTTTTTATAACATTTGCCACTTTCCAATTCCTTCTTACAATGTTTACAGTAGTAGTGACCAAAACATCTTGCATTATTTGGATATTCTTCAAATGTAACCACCAATGAACCTTTATTGACATCTGAGACTTTATTAGGGTACTTTTCCTCTAAATACTTCAGCACCTTAGGTCGTATTTTCTGTTCACGTACTGAATGATGTCCAGCACCAACAATAACTTCAAGCCATGTTTTCTTCTCACTTAGAGCTTTACCCATATTTTCTATAAATTCATCAATCTTTGCTTTTAGCATTCTAATTGCTTCATCTCCTTGCTCTTGTCGTTCTTTTATAATATTGGTCACCTCTTCTTCCGGGTTGTCCTGCAGCAGCTCTTTTTCATCCCTGGCAAGTGTTTCTTCATCAACCACTAACAGCCCATGAAGGTCAACATGGTTCAATCCTCGTTCCTCATTGAAAAATGCAAACATTTTCTCGCATGCCTTTTCATTATAGATCTTCATTAGATTAGCATATTTCTGTTTGACGCCTTTACAGAATGATGATTGCTCAAAATATTTAGCTTTATAACTCTCCATAGCTTTCTCTCTCCACTTTATTCGTTTTGCATTCATTTCTGAAGCCTTCTTGCGACAGTAAATTGCTTCAAGAAGGTTTAAGAGCAGTTTTTTACATTTCTGAATTTTCTCATTATCAAGCATTGCAGGTAAAATAAAACAAACTGCACTAGACCCAGTGTTATTCTCAACTTTTATAGATTTTGGTTCATTTATAGAACAAACTCTTGCAATGTTCTCAAGGTGATATCCATCTGCTCCTTCAACTTCTTTTGCTGACACATTGTCACATTTAAATGCTTTTTGATTTGGTCTGCTATTACTTTTCATCACTTGGCATGCTCGCTTGTCAAATTCTTCGTACACAGTCAAGTACAGATCAAATTGGATTTGTGTTTCTTGAAATGTGAATCCAAGTTTTGCTTTACCTTTTTCATTATGTTTGATGGATTTCAACAGAACAGTAGCCTCCCATGAATGATCACTCAATTTTTTAAGTTCCTTAACATTAATAATGTTTTTCTTATATTGAGAAACAGTCAACTCTTTAGATGAAAGTGACTCCTGTTTGGTTTGAGAGTCACCCAGTAAAGAAATCAAACACTTAAAGTGGTCATCATCAGGAAACAAGGCTGGTTCAAGGTCAATCAATCCATCATATTCTGGCTTCAATTCAACAGACAATTGGTTCGTTGGCTGCTTTGGTAATGGTTGAACATTACTGGCAGTTTGCCACTCTGGTAATGGTTGAACATTTCTGGCAGTTGGCCACTCTGGTAATGGTTGAACATTTCTGGCAGTTTGCCACTCTGGTAATGGTTGAACATTTCTGTCAGTTTGCCACTCTGGTAATGGTTGAACATTTCTGGCAGTTTGCCACTCTGGTAATGGTTGAACATTTCTGGCAGTTTGCCACTCTGGTAATGGTTGAACATTTCTAGCAGTTTGCCACTCTGGTAATGGTTGAACATTACTGGCAGTTTGCCACTCTGGTAATGGTTGAACATTTCTGGCAGTTTGCCACTCTGGTAATGGTTGAACATTTCTGGCAGTTTGCCACTCTGGTAATGGTTGAACATTACTGGCAGTTTGCCACTCTGGTAATGGTTGAACATTACTGGCAGTTTGCCACTCTGGTAATGGTTGAACATTTCTGGCAGTTTGCCACTCTGGTAATGGTTGAACATTACTGGCAGTTTGCGACTCTGGTAATGGTTGAACATTTCTGGCAGTTTGCCACTCTGGTAATGGTTGAACATTTCTTGGTTGGACAAGTTGCTCATTTGTTCTTTTGCAGCCATAATCATTATTTACAATTGGCAACTTTGGAATTGATTGATATTTCACCCTTTTTCGATTCATCACTATTGGCATTGCCAATGGTGGTGGTAATGAGGGCTGAACAGTTATTAAAAATTCTGATCGACCTTTAAATTTATACCTCGTGCCCAAATCTATCCCAACGGTTGCCCTTCCAGGTTGTTTTGGAAGACAAAAAATGTCAAGCACTTTACCTGAGGAACCTTGTAGTTTTATGTTCATACCCCAATCGCTTTTGCAGAATTTGCCGTCGCCCTCACGTATAATAATAGTATTATTAACAAGAAATGAATTAAAAACATCCCTTTCGTTAACTAACTTGATTGAACACAACAGTGTTTCGGTTCCGCACTGTGCTGTCGATGAATGCTGGAGCAAAATAACTTCCTTTTCAACTTTAGCAAAATATTTGTAAATCCATAGGCATAGCACAACCGCGATAACCGCGATAAACGACACAATCCAAATGAAGCAATCCTGCCACATATTTTCCCAATAGTCTTTTATCTTTTATAATATTTATAAATTTCCAAGAGACGACTACAATATTTCCGTGACAGAATGGCGGAAAACAGATTACATATAGTCCAGAAGTGTAATTATGTTTTCGCGCCTCAAATTTCAAAAAACACAGCAAAATCAAAATGCACACGTCATGAAACCCTCCACTGACCCTCACATACGCAAACTTGTCACAAAAAGATGGCTACTGTGGATTTCTCATAGTAATTTTCCTGATTTTGGCAAGTGTGAGAGGGACCGACCTTGAGACAAACATTTTATATCTTTTATGCACGGTATATTATTATATATTATCTTAAAACATTACGGTGTTTTTTAATTACAGGAAAATTACAGTTCCTGGATTTTTTCCTTGATTTTGATTGTGGGTCATTTGGACCAATCCGCATGACAATGGCCTCTGAAATACCGCTGGTTGAATGACCGCATCCTCTCCAATAGCTCACGTGAAAGCGCACTTGTGCCAGTGCATGGAAAACCTTATTTATGTATGGCCATAACATACCGTATGCAGACAAAACAAATTTTTGGCAAGTTAAACAGCATATCAATTTTGTAAAAATAACCTGTATATATATTTTTCTAACACGTTATTCTCTGTGTCACTACAACGTCGCACATTTTATAGTAAATAATAAATCTCTAATATAGAGGGAACATACTTTTCCGAAACATTTAGTGATATTTATGATCACTGAAGGCACTTTGAGTGCGATCAGATAGACTCTTTCGATAATTACGTCACAACATTAACGTTCTAAATTTAGAACCACCTTAAATGAGATGGATTTCACGTTTTACTCTCACAAACCGCGTGCAGAGACCCAAAACATCCTTCTTTAACACATGAATGAGAAAGAACTTTTAACTTTGACAAATAATTGTGGAAATAAGCTGTAACACTAAAACGAAGCTACAAGGGCACGACCGGAAGCCTCGTTCTTTAGTTATGGCTTATTTCCACACTTATTATGTCAAAATGAAAAATCCTTTTCATGCGTGTGTCGAAGAATAATGTTTTGTATCTTTACACATGGCTCGTGAGAGTAAAGGCTGTTTTCCACTTACGCGTTTTTCATACGCACGTTCACGCACGTCAAAGTCGAAATCCTTATACATGTTACCTTTGAAAAAAATAAGTGAATAAATCGAAGGAACTTCTGAGTTCTCTGCATATTTTAGTATGCATTAGTTGACCTAGATGTTAAATAATAAAAATTTAAAAGCATTTAAAAAACGCGTAAGTGAAAAGCAGCCTTAAAACTAGAAATCCATCTTATTTAAGGTGGTTCTAAATTTATAACGATAATGTTGTGACGTAATCATCGAAAGGGTCTATATTGGCTTTAAATAAACTCCATTTAACGTCAATATTATTGTCTATGGCACTATTGATTATTCTGAATTGTATACCCCAGTAACTATACTAGGTATGGACCGTTGAAAGAGAGAATTTGGTTTCGACTATCTCCAGTGTCCGTCTTGGGGTATTCAGAGATCAGTTTCCTTAGCGGCGACTCTATTTTACCACTCTAGGGCATTAACTCTGAATTACTTGCTTCTGCAAACAACTTTGACAAGGTCAGCGGCAATGTACTTCAGTTCGTCGAAACTTGACGTGTAGAAGTCGCTTGGACTAGACGAAATGCTACGAAGGAAATCCTTGTTTTCCTCCTCGGATTTCGAGTTGGCGATGTATACCGTCACGATGTGAACTCCCCGCTGTCTTAATTTTGCCGCATTTTCCGAAGCCTGGGTCTGGTCATGCGCACCACCGTCAGCCACCAAGATTATCACGTTACTCACATCTGCTCTGTCACCATCGAAGCCATCGAATATCTAAATAAAAGAAAGAAAAGGCATCAATATTGAATGCCGTTTGGGGAAAAATATGTTTTTCTGTTAAAAGTCAAATGTAATGATATATAAATTGTGTTCATTGTTCAATTGTAATTTGTGTTAGGTGTCGCGTGCGCAAAGTTTCCCCGATGTCTAAAAAACATCATGATTAACATTCATAGCTTTTTTGTGATCTCTGTGGTGCCGATGTGTATATTTTACATATCTCAGCACTGTCAATAAACATCGTGACAGTATGAAAACCGCATAATGGCTTACAAGAACAGAAGTGGTTCACGTATTTTGGTCTCCCGCTGACAACGTCGACTTCAAACAATTCTTCAACTGATGAAAATTATAACGACTTTTTGGAGACGCTCGTAATAACAACTGCTTTGCCATTGCGCGTATATTGTATCAGGCAGCCAAATAACAAGCGTGCGCCATCAATGCTTATCATCCTTTATTAATTATGCCAAGTTGATATATTCCGAATAAACTGAAGTTTTAATATTTAAGGTTTACAATCACGAGCGACCGTGAGTGTTGTAAATGAGTTGTGAAATATAAGATTTGAATAGTTATGAAAATCAGTTACAAACACTAGAGGTTGTTTTTTTTTCGATACAACCGCTGGCGTTTGTAACTGATTCGCATACTTATCAATCTATTAAATTTGTATGGGGTATACAGGGTGTGCATGTGACCTAATTCATGAAATTTGGTTCTGTGATAATTTAATATAATTATTCATGATCAGAATACTATATATAATGCAAATTGCTCGTTTTTCACTGAATCATGGGAAATCATTTTCTTACCGAGCTATCCGCTAATTCCAAGGCATGACCTAACATCGTTCTTTTCCCCGCATGGTACACCATTTTGTGGATTGCACGGCTAATTTTCCTAGCTTGGTAATAACGGTCAAATCCAAATTCCGTCTTAGTCTTCCCTTGCTCGCTGAACTGTGTCAACGCAACACGATTGCTATCTTCGCCGACGTTCAGTTCCATCACAAGTTTTTGTAAAAATTTCTTCACCGTCCTAACATCTTGCCAACCAACGCTGGCTGACCCGTCCACGAGGAGTAGAATGTCGCGCTTCTGATGTGCACATTCCATTGCTGAAATTTTATTGAATAGATTATATTAAAGACGATAGAAGAAGATTGGGAAGCAAGCATGGCAATAAACAGAAAACTAAACAACTTTTTTATGCATACTGATATTCGATTCAAACCGGCATGACGTCTGGATGGAGTTTGTAGGGAGATTCAGCACGAGGAGGTGAATGTCAAAGACGATGTGAAAATGGCGAATGGAGAATAAATGGCGTGATGCGCCCAAATATGGACATGCCACGCCATTTACTTGCCATTTTCATGTCGTATTTGACGTTCACGTCCTCATGCTAAATCTCCTTTATTTCCCGCCGAGACTACGCCGAAGACCAGAATTCCTTAAGAATCCCCTAATTCTACTAAGGTCTATTCCTCTGTTAAATTTATACTCTCGTACTTTTGGGGGGTTTTGCAAAGCAAATCTCTGACGTCAGCGTTTTCACCAAATACGGTAGTTTCTTGAAATCTGCAGTAAAAACATTACTGGACTTTGAAGCCATCGCTCTAAGATCTTTCCTGAATGTCGCGACCGTCTCTTCTTCTCCCATCCCTATGGTTATGATCTGAACTCTTTTTTCGCGCAATTTCTTTGCCTCTTCGAGAGCCTTCTCTCTGTCACGTGCCTCCCCGTCGGTCAGGATGACGACAACATCCGAGACGTTTGGACGATATAAAACATTTTGGGGGAACACCTGGATGGTGGAGAACGAAACGATAAATTTTAGTTACGAGATCCTGGTATAAATCGGCAATGACGACCAGGGGCGCCGGAATATCGATAATAACGGGGGCAGATATTCATATATTCGTGTTCGCAGATCGTAAAAACAATCGATTTCAAAAGGAGTTAATAATGCAGAACACGAATATATGAATATCTGCCCCCGTTATTATCCATATTCCGGCGCCCCTGATGACGACCATTGAGTGATCAGCGACCAATCATAATAGTGAGGTTCAGATTTGACTCTAACTACCTACCGCTACTTTTAGGCATGGGCGTGGCCACTGTGGCGGGGGGTGCTGGATTGGAACATTCCTAATAATTTGCAATTCAAAGAGGTGGTCAAATGCTTCGTTATTGGAATGGGATCCAAAAAGTGTGGACTTAAATTGACATCACGGCCAAAACTATATGCGATAACTGCTTAGTTCAAAGAAAGACTTTACATCATTCTTTATATGATGGATTTTCCTTAGAAAGAGTTGCAAATTAAATGGTAGAAGGATCAATTTCAAACAGTTTGGTTTTTAGAATTCCATTCCTTCTGCGCTGAAAATTAAATTTGATCACCTCATGCGATCATAGACAACCGATCGCTTACTAATCTAGATTCAAATTTGGTGAAAATACTCGCTAACTGACCTTCGTGTTAACGATTTCCAGAGCATCTCCGGCGTCTGTCCCTCCTTCTTGATAAGGCATGTTTAAAATTGCTTCTTTAACCTCCTCGAATGTTTGGTGCTCACCCAAATTGAATTCAATTCTAGTTTTGATGCTGTGACTGAATTGTAGCAATCCAACATGGGTGCTGTGCCGGCCAACATCAAGCTCTTTGATGAGATGTATGAGAAAATATTTCATTCTTTCAAAATACGACAGTTTAATGCTGCCCGAGCCATCCAGCACAAAAAACACGTCATGATTTTTTCGGACACATCCTTTGGTGGGATCTAGCACAAGTTAAATCATACCATTATTACGATATGTAAATTTTGTAGCCGTAGCTTGCTGTTGCGAAAAATGTCCGATTGAAATAAACCCTTGATTAGCAAATGTTACACGAAAAAATAAACTCTTCAGGGCTGCTTTCCACTGTCACGTTTTTTGCACCTACGTATGTATGTGCAAGTAATAGCTTGTCCAACCCTGTGCATCCAACCCTATGCATCTATTCAATCGTTGATTTCATAACTCTGAAACTCCTAGTTAACTCTGAAATACACGACTCTGATTCGGCAAATCTGTCCTTAACTACAGTTCAAAGTTAACTAGTGTTTTATACAACCCGCCCCAGAACCTCAAAGTGTAGACTGACTAAGGTAAATCATTAATCAATACTCACGCATCGCACGAGCCGACGGACAAATTCTCTTTTTCAACGTCCGTCTTAATTTCCTGTTCGACTGAAGTGTCAAGACATTTTCTGGTATTGATGCGACAGCTGTCAACTCATCCTTCACGTTCCACGCTATCTTCGTGGCTTGAGAGAACACGGTTATGATCTCGACATTTTTTTGCTTAAGTTTGTGAGCTTTGCGCAAAACATCTTCCAACTGGGTGGGAAGAAATCTGTTGGTAAAAACGATGAGAACATCGTTCACTTTCTTTCGGTCACCGTTTTTGTTGTTGAAAACCTGAACGTGTGAAAAAAGAGCGTGAGCCATCACAACCAATTCTGTTTGCCGAAATTAGAAATCGTCATGTCAAATGACGTCATATAACGTGGATTTTTCACGTATGCCACTACGTCATGATTTGGAAGAAAAGTTTGTATCTCATGACGTCATACCAATGACAAAGACATCATGGTCCCAAAGGGTTCCGGAGTGTGAAAGAAACCAGATGCAAGCGAAAAAAGTTGTCTAGTTCACCTCTAGTTCAATTCATGCAGTTTTTACAAGATATGAAAAATGATCAGTCCCCAATTTCTCCTTAAAAGAACCTCAGCCTACAGTCTGGGAATTCTGCATAATTCTGCATGTATTTCAATATTTTTTTTCCCTTACTCAATACATGTTAATTACAGCATCTTCAGCAAGCCCATCCCAAAAACACACAAGGACATATATAGTAACTAAACACACACCTTCTTTTGTACAACTTCCAAAGCATACGCCATATCAGATTGTCTTCTCCCATGACATTTGAGCCGACCAATAGCATTGCTAAGTGAGTCAATTGAACCATATTGACCTAAGCTAATCTCGATTTTTGTTCTCTCTTTATGGTCCGCTAAAAGCAAGCCAACGTGGGTCTTACCAAGACCCACATCCAGGCGAGACACGAAATTTTGTAGAAATGTTCTTATTTTGTCGAATTGAGCAGGATCGATTCGTCTTGATCCATCGACCACAATAAAAAGATCCTGCTTCCTGTGGGAACACCTTCGAGAGCCTGAAATATAACCGATTATATATTTCAATGATAGGAGTAAAATAAGTTCCCATTTGCAACAATTGGCGGCAAGAAATTTTTGTGCAAAACTTTCAACAACAATTGGGATGGTTAAATCGTAGTTTGACTATTAACTTGTTTGTTAATCATGTCATTAACTAGTTAAATGTACACCACCTTAAAAATTCACACAACTGTTCGAGTTTGATGAATGAGACAGTAATTAAGGACTGTTTTGCTTTCAAAATCAGTCATTCACATTCAACTTATACTAACTCAAAGAAAAATCATTAACTTTGCGTCAAATACAACTTGCGTCGTGAAAACACTCCATTTAAAACTTTTTTGATGTATTGCGATCAAAATGTCAAAGCAGTTAAAAATATTTATCAATCAGTCGGGCAAAGATTATTTGTTTTATATAAAGGATTTCTAGTAAACTCGACTTCTCACGAGCGTGGGAGGTCTTTACACCACAGGTCGCTGTGGGAACCAGGTATGTCAGCCTCAAAATGCCGCCCCAATCTCGAACCTGAGCCAGCATTCCTTCGCGGAGGCATGGTGATGCTTTAGGAACACTAGCAAAATTCAAGCTTTGATTGTTTTTTACCAATTCTTGAGCTATTCTTGTTCATTGCGTTCATCATTCATCGCGATCAACACGGCAGTTTCGTGCGCCATTTAAGCTGCTTATTCCGGCGAGAAATTACCGCAAGAGAATATATGTAAAAAATCCAAAACAAAATTTATATGCGAACGTAGAAATAGTTCGAACTGGGAATTTTAATATTCGTCTTCTACTTTAGTACTTTATTAATACTTCAAAAAATGATTATATTATGAATCACGAAAAGTTCGAAAAGTGTGTTTGTGGAGGCGGAAATTTAATTAGTTTGAATCTCGATTTCGAACGAAAAACAATTAATGTTATAACCACGACTATAAACCATCGTCGTTGTATTTTAACTAATAAACGAAAAATATGCTTATGAATAATATCGCCAGTTTTCACATGTATTTATTCACACGCTGCTCCTTACGTGGACGTAACCATGTTTACATATAATATGATGTTACGCGGAGGACTGGGGTTGAGTTCACTGCGATGATTTTACTAGTGAACTGATTTTCGTGCAAAATTTGCTGGTTTTCCCAAAGCCTCAGCAAGCGTCTGAGTTTGATGTCGCCGGCACCACACGGGAACATGGGACGGTTTCATTTGATGAATAACTTGTAAACAATTGGGCTGGTGTGCAAATGGCGCCGTCAAATTAATCAATTCTATATTCAAACTTTTTTTCAACTTTTAATTATTCTATTATACATGCGACCACATTTTCAAATTGTAATCAGAGCTGACCTTATAACTCTGTCGGCAGAGCCGAACGAGATACTAAATGAAATCGTGGATTTCATTTCAACAAATGTACCGAGGTCTAACGTAAAGAGAGCCGGGATCATGTCTCATAAAAACTGCACCAAAGCCAAGCCATAACAACGAATTAATTTGGAAGAACACAATATAAACTTGTATTGTGGTTCTTTCCGGCCTTTGTAATGTTTATATTGCTATATTGTTATACACGTATATAGGATAACACAAATAGGACTTTTCGGTTGCTATGTTACAATTGCGTTGGGGGCTCGATTTTGATGCATTTGTGACGCTTGCCGGAAAAACCTATTTAGTGCTTTTTCTTCACTGAAGTGAACTGTCACAATTTTAACCTAATTCAAGTGATATGTGAGCTAATAAAATGGCTGGAATAAGTGCTATATACTGGAACGAACACAAAGTGACAAAAAAGAACCTTCTGGATCTAAATATCTAAAGATCTAAAGCACTTCATAGTAGTAACCTATATGTAGGGTATCCCGAATATAGTTTGTTCTTGATTGATTCATTGAAAAAGCTCTGGTTATGTGAATCATACAAAGGGGAAGTTTCGCCGTTTATTCGGGCAAAGTTTAATGTTAATAAAATAGAAACCTATATTCAATAGTGGAAATAGAAAAATCAGAAGAAACATAAATTCGTGCCAACAAATTATAGCAGCTCCCAGTTAGGATGACTGGTATAAGAGAGTTTTCTAGCTCATTTGAGAAAAATAAGATGAACTTTGATGAAAAAATGGGAGACAGGATAGTTGTGGAGGGAATAACTATAGAATTCCCTGCAATTATATACTAAGGAAAGGCTGGACAATAAAATAAAAAGTTATTGTAGAGTATGAATAAGTTATTAGAACGAATATAGTAAATCTCGCTGCATGGTATACTCTATAGTTGTGTCTTCGTAGAGTAATATATAGCTAGATCGTATATAACTATATATATATATATATATATATATATATATATATATATATATATATATATATATATAATATATATATATATATATATATATAATATATATATATATATATATATATATATATATAGTTAACTCTATCATGTTCATCAACAATTAGACGACGAGCTTTCCGCATTTTTTGTTCACATCAAAATATTACTATTGTTTCGATACTGAAAACTCTGCGAATTTCAATTTGAATTTGATTTCATGTTTGTATATATACTTATTTGAGCCTGCATGATCATTTCTATAACTCCTGTACATTGGTGTCAAAGCCTAGCAGCATGTGTATTTGTAAAGCATTCTTTAAAGTTTTGCACATTACAATAACAAAGACTCGGTAAAAAAATAAAAACAAACAATTGCCACAAATATATATTTAAAAGCACGATGTCTGCCTTTATAGTGTAATAATTATATGTATAATACATTTTCAGAAGGATTTCACCGCTATTAAAAGTCTTTCCGACCCGAAAAACCGTATCTTCGGCTTGAGTTTTCCAAACGAAAATTTAGCAAAAAGCTAATAGTGTCTGTTATGCATTTGATTGAGACTGAGAATTAGAGTTATTTAGGTTTCATTTGAAGTGATTCAAGCAGTTTCAGTCGAAACTTTCGACATTTATAAACACTCTGGTAAATAATAGCCAACGCTTTCTCTTTTATCTTTGTACAGGCTGAAAACTGAGTGGAGATTGACCTGTATATACCATATTATAATATAAGTTATATATATTGGTGACTTTTCGCATCACAGGTTACTTACACAGCTATATAAACAATCAATATCGCGCTTCTGTACTAAAGGAGCGTAATAAGGAGACCTATGACGGGTTTAATCGAGCTTAATCTGTGATTCTTTGGGCATAATGAAGTAGCAAACGGATTGTTTACCAGTAGTGTGTTAAAAAAATTTCGCACGGTTATTTTCAAGACCGATGGCAAAAATAGCTTTCACAAAGAGAAGTCTATTCCAAATTTAGCAAATAATAATCTCAGTTGAACTCCGAAAATATCTCTCAGCGGTTGGTCGGGCTGTATTTTTAATAACACTTTATACAAGGAATCCCCTTTGTATAATGACCATGATCCCAAGACGCTTCTAGACGTGGTTTCACTATGTAATTTTGTAACGAGATGAAACGATGAAAGCAGTTAGAAAATAGGCTATGAGTTGATATTAAGTACTTCATTTGAAAGGGAGTCTTAAGTCTTGATGACTCATTGCATCTCCAAGGAACGACAAGTCTCGCGTGATATTGTTTTTGTATAGCAAATAACGTTGGTAAATCATCCGGTGAGCGAGACAAAGGATGACCTTAGATCGCCCGTTGCTTCAAGCATAAAATACACCTGCATCGAAATATGGCGTCAATCTTTTCATACGTTAAACGTTTGTCATATTTTCCCACATTTACGGTGGTCACAACAACATTTTGTCACAGCAACTGTATGGCAAACGTTCATCGCAACAACAATACACGTTTCTCAAAACAAAGAGATTATGAAGTATTCATTTCCTGATATAAGGCAGGCATGAAGGCCATAGAATTATTTTATATTAAGCATTCTTTAAACGCTTTAGGTATAGAAAAAAAGATGAGAAAAAACCAGGGGAAATGCATGGAATTTGTAATTTCTACGCCCCTGTTGAGCGGCAAAAACTTTGCAAAGCGTCTTCATGACGAATGAAAATTTTTCAACACGGAAAATATCATGCCGATCACGTATTTGTGAGCATAGTTTATCAATCACAACTGATTAGGATCGCAAGTCCTTATAAAGTTCTCAAATCTAAATTTCGCAGAAAACTCTGGTAATGCAGTCGCAAAAGTGAAACAACATTTCTTTCGTTAATTACAAAAGAAAGACAAAACAATTGCGAATTCTCACCTGAATAAACAAAATTAGACAGGTCTGGACAGAACATGAAGTTAGAGTCTAGTGCAAACACATAGAATTATATATAGTCTATAAAAGATTTAATTAACTTCGGTATAGTCCCTATACTGCTATTTGATGTCGTAAAAAAACATGCAACGACTCCATGGAGAGATATTAAAAGTCGGTTAATTGTAGTCCTATTATGTAGACACTAAATTTATCAAAAATAATTTGATATCAAGCAGATAATATATTTTGGTGGAATATATATTTTTATAGTCTTTATGAGTTACCAATATACATTTGCCTCAAGACAAAATACTTTTGTCCGTTCCTAAATGTGTGAACGTGTACAGATTTCGCACAGGGAATTGATCGATTGTGTTAAGCCTAAAGGTTTTATTTCTCCATGCATTTAAGAGACAAAATTAGCTAGCTATAAGGTACGATTTACCTTCTATCTTCATTCGTGCAAATAGGATGGCCCAAAATTTCGATATTCAATTAATATCATGTTTATTAAGCTCAAAAGCGGGAGTTTGATTTCGATGCTCAAAAGTACAGAGCGCTAGCTGGCCTCGAGGAAGAGAGTTGCCTTTTTTTCCCAACTGTCTTTTGGTAGAGATTTACCTGACCATACTAATTAAGAGCATGTGCGAGCAATCATTTAATTCTATAGACGAATGGGTCTTTCAAATGCGTTAGTGCTATATAGACTATATATATTTATTAGCTGACGTATCATTGAAGACTCCATGTATATATGATCAATTTTTTACAAACATCATATCAAAGCTGGGCAAACAGCAGTTAAAATGCATTAGTTACCATCACAAGAGTACCCTATAGTGGAGAGCGCACCTATATAAATATTTGTTTATATGTAACAACATGCAATGATATATGTTTTTTTATTTTCAACCGGATTTTGGACCAGCCATGTCTAGACAGTATATTTAAACATATAAAGCCGTTTGAATTACCGTCAGACTTTCGCAATTTATATATTCAGTTCAAGAATTCCCCTCACCTTGTTCAGGCAGTTCTGCCAGACGGCACAACATTTTTGGCCCAAAGTTTGAATAATATACTACATCCACGCTGATTCTACAACCACAACACGGTTTACTTAAAGCCATATAGCTAACCTTCGTGAAATCCAGACATAAAGCGCATTTGCTAAACTGAATGTTTGCAAGAAATGAATCAGGTTTTTTTGTCAATGAAGAGTATAAATGCATGATATATCCCCAAGCAATGGAAATTTGTGTCCTACGCACGCAATTTCGTTTTCCCAATCACAGATTTAGGAGGAAATGAGTTTGTTTAACCTCAACGGTAGAATTAAACTGCATGGGACGTAGCGTATATATGATTTTGTGACTTCATGTAATAGATCCTGTAGCTTCGAAGAAGACAGGAAAGATTGTCATATAAATTCGGAAACTCTTCAAACAAAGAATTGTTGATCTTTTAGTGATCATGTTCGGCTAACGATCACAGTAACGACCTAATAACCTGTGGGCATAAGCATAACACCTTTGATATTCAATTATAGCATCGCAAAAGTGTAAAGCTTACGTGAAAGTTCGCAACAAAACGAGGTATAATTGAGGCATTAAACAAGATCGAAAATTGCTCGGTGAAATTCAAGTCATGTACAACAAACTCTAAAACTCCAAGGTGAATGTCGAGATAACACAATTTCGTTCAGTACAGACAGTACAGCCTTGCTAGTACTCTTTGTTAACATTTATCTAACCCAGAACTCGTTACGTATCGAAGAGATTTGGAATCGGTTGTATGTCGTGCAATCGTACCTGGATGTGACTTGATGTTATATACATATAATATAAACCGCAAATCCGGCTGTAATATAAACTAACAAACGCTATGTAAATATTACAATGTATACAGTGATTTATCACAGATTTTAACCCACCTTCCGCCACAGTGAGGAGAAACGCCAAGGCATAGATCCCAAAAGCAAACATCGTCGAACGAAAGAGGTTACAGACAGCGGAATGCTAGCTTTCTTGCCAAGCGCTGTGAGTTTAAATACATTCAAATTCTTTGTCCAGCGTACCGGCCTTCCGGAGTACCTAGCCACTTGTTTGAACAAGTTACGCGGTTGTATCAATATTTTAGGCATGCATACATTTGAATGTTTAATGGCGCATTAGGGAAAGCAAAACAAGTAGGCTTTATGTCGGCGCGTGATAAGAATCAAACACGATTTGGGTGGTATTTTGGCACGGGAGAAAGATTTTACGCATCGTAGAATAGCTACATGGAAATTTCAATGACCACTTTAGCCTTTTACAAACCGCACTATTGAAACCATTATGGAATGAAGAAACAACATTTCTCATGCGTTATATAACTAATAACGTTGATATATTTTAGTAAGCTTTGCGTTCTAAGTTCAACAATAATTGTTTTTAGTCTACGGAGAGTATTTTCATAATGTCCGTAGTTACCGTATATGGTTTTCACATGGTAACAAAATACCGTTTAAAGCATTTGTTTTGTCTATATATATCATTAAATTGCAAGATATCTCAGAAGCTTAAATTAACGTCCTCTTTTAATATTAAACTATATGTTTATAAATAATTATATATGATTTCATGTAATTGCTTGCATATATGAACTTAGTTTCTGGTCAACATCGTTCCGGTCACATGGCAAATGCACGCGCACCTATAATATGCATGCATGTGCATGGCATATACACAAACGAACTATACACAATTTAGGCATTCTAAAGTGAGCACGTGGTTCATTATTATCATTCATAGCTGGCGCGATAATTATACCTCAATATTATATATTTGACCGAAGGCTATATCAAATTACCTAAGATTGAAATATTAACTGGGAACTTTTTTTGAGGTTCACACACTTGTCGTGTTGAAATGCGAAGTGTAGTGGAATTGATTCAGTTTTTCTCTACTAAATATGGCGCGTATTCCTATAGGAGTCTTCTAGTCGCGAATATTTACTGTTCATGCACGTATGTTAATTTCAGTTTTTTTTATTCTTTGCCAGACTGTGAAATGATTGCTTTGTAATGATCGAAACCCCCCCATCGAAGGAAGGTAACTCAAAGGGTGGCATTTGCGTTCATTTATCGTTAAGCGATAAAGTGTCATATTCCGTTTTCGAGGAAGTCGTCAGCTTGAAGAGCTCATGCTCCATAAGTTTCAGTCAAAGGTGCAAATTGAAAAGTAAAAATGTTTTGTTGGCATTGAAACGTAAGCTCAACATGTCGTCTATTACCCATATAAAGGCATTATTGCGGTTAATGCACTTCCAACGAAAAAAAAAGCTTTAAAACAAACATCGGAAATTATCAAATAAAACATAATTAGACGTAATTATTGTGTATATGAACAGTTTTGCCGACATAAAACCAAATGCATTGACCATTTGACCTGCTTTGTCACGAAGCCTGTATACTGAATCGAAACAAATTAGTCAGTGAGTTGTTTTATGTATTTTGTCTAGAATGCAGTTTTTTACCAAAGCTTCTTAACGTATAATTAATGAAATTTTCATTAGTAATTTATAAAACGTAGTGTCAATGCATGATATTTACATCCAGTCTGAGTTTGAGCAAATATCACTTTCATGCAACGTTGACATTTCTCTATCACTTCCAACTTCGATCGCAAGCTTGTCCGAATTTCTTTATCATTTGTTTAAAAAAATAAGAGATATCTGGCACAGTTTTTGAATCATTGATATTTGCAAAGGGGACCGACCCAAAATTCTGTGCCCTGTGGTGAATATCATTTTGATCAAAAACTGGAGAACAAACGACAAACTCTGGACGTTTCTATATCATGTTTTTATCCTGAGTATAGGCATGCATGTAACTGACTGACCTCATTAGATCGAGAGAATCTAACAGACTATACATACATGCATACAATAGCTACTTATCATCAGTATCCAAAATTGGCAGTAATTCTGCAATATATTATGTTCTTAAAATTTCTCGTACAAAGGTCGCAGGAATCCTTCTCGCCAGAAGAAAACAACTGACCCACAACATTTAGACCACTGATCTAAACTGAAACTACTTGTGTGCATATTATATGCATGCATGCATTATGCAGGATAAAATATCATTTATATGGTTGAAAGTCTATATATATAGGCAGCCATGTTGGTGTGGTCACGCATAATGTACAGCGGCATCGCTAATATGTTAGAAGATAGTCGCGTAAAGTCTGAAGTATTGGGAAAGGTAACGGTAATACGGCCTGGATACAAATTAGTCCCCATGCATTACGTCTTTTTAATTCGCTTAAAATTTGATAAGTAATGCACGAGGTCACGCCAGAATAGCCGCCTTCGTCTTTTGCCTTCCGAAACGCATTCTATATGCGAAGACATAAATTTGCTTGATATGTTATTTTAAAACTGAATCAACAGACCAGCTCATTAGAAATATTCCGACTTCAAATGTAACTCATTCGATTCAAAAACACTAGAAATAACCGCTTTCGTGCATGTGGCCCACATATTAAGCACTTGACATTTCGTAAAAACAAGATTCCTATTAAAACTCCAAGACCAAGGCATGTATTATATTATCATGTGGCCATTTATATCTTCTTAGTGAAGAGCGCGGGGAACAAAATTCTATAGCTAAAACGTGACACTGACATCCAACGTCAACAACAGACATAGTTAAACTCGTATAAAAACTCGTATTTTTAAGTTACATGCACTCAGCACTCCGCATTTCTACAGATACCTGTGTAACAGAGCTGATATCATCGATTCTTTCAGCTGTCTGCCTGCGGGTATTTACGTGTAATATCGGCATGTTTTTGCCAAGGGTTTTGATCTGGAAAAGAAAGGAACTTTCATATATCCGGTACGTAAAAATAAGCAAGATATTACTCAAGCAGCCGTGCAGTTATACGACAAGTACTTTTCAACAGAAGAAACTTCTTTCACCAATTTGCATTGGAAGTAGAGTCGTTTTAAGTGTGCACTTGGCGCTTAATGGACTTATAAGGGTATTTTATTGGAAAGAATACGCGACATTATGTGTTATAGCTTATATAGACACATGCATGTTGCTGAGGAAAACGGCAATTGCTCCATTGGCATATATTCAAGTTCTCCATTCTTAGTCAAGTATCTAAATATTTTGAAAAATTCTTTCATTGCAGGAGAGTAACAAAAATGTCTTCCACATCAATCTAAATATACATTTCGGGAAATGAAAACATTCCGTGTTTCGCACACATTGTTCATGCGGACACTTACTGCCAAGGGAATTTTCGAGCCCGTATGGAATGTATAGGGGGGGGGGGAATTAAACACACCCACGGATTAACTTTCATTTTTTGTGTCTCATTTCTATTTTTTTCCCATTGGCATCGCATACACAGTAACATTTTGCACAGTCCGAACTGCAATTTTGAAATGCTATATGTTTAAACACTACAACACGATTTTGGTTTGTCATTCTTCAGTAAAAATGAATATATAAATGATTTTATGCCTCAAAACAATCATACGAGATTTGGTCTACAATTAGAATTACATATGACAGACAGTCGCTTTAATCCTACCAGGGGCCAGTTGTATAAAAGACAAGTTAACTTTTAACTGTAGTTAAGGACAGAATTGGCAAATCAGACTCGTGTATTTAATTCTGAGTTAACTATAGGATTAAATCATATATGCAAAATGTATAATTAAAGAGTTTTATACAACCGACCCCAGGACTTTGTGAACAAATGTTTGGGACATATTATGGTTGATATATAGGAAACATGTATGTTCGAGTATGGTAATATTGCAATTCAATAATGAAACTGAAACGACGGAAACCTCTAATTTATTATATTTAACAAGTAAATATACTTCGCTGGCCTCAAAATTTCAAATATATGAATTATACTGAAAAGGCAAGCAAAACATTGTTGCTAATTTAGTTGAAGTGATGTGGCCAAATTGCCCGTAAAAATTGCATTGAAATGACTATATTGAGTTGTTTTTTTAAATTTCCCTACCATTGTTTTGATTGATTGATTTACTTTTTAGAATGGTTCCTTATGCTTGTGAAATTATGCATGACCAAAAGCTATATCGAATCCAATATCGTAGCTACTTTTCATTTTTAAGCCTCCTACAAACACTGTAAAGCAGAATTCGTTAAAATTTTATTTTGAAATAGTTTGAAATATCGATTTTTCATCGACGGTCAATTCTGCATGCTTTCTACCGTATAGACGAAAAGAAAAACTAGCAATTGATTATTTCTGCATGATTTGTGGTATAACTCAGCCGGTATTTCGCCAGAACATTAAGCCTCGGCTACAGGGGCGATTTTTGACGGCGATCTTCTCCTTTTGGTGTATGCTATTAAGTAAATTTAACAGAATAGGTTACTTTACTTCGTCCAGCTTATACACACTGCGTACATAGTTCACACAATTACACTCAAATGGCGGAAAGGTTCAAAATGGAGAACAAAATAATCTATTTATTGAACAATTAAGCTGAAATATATCAAGTTAAAAGGGGAGGTATAGATAGGTATAGGAGGACATATATAACAGCATGATTGCGGTAAAAATGAAACTATTTCTTCAGTAGTAATCATTAGCTAGCTATATCGATCGCAACATCGTTTTCAACGTTGTCGAGTTGTAAAAAATTTGATCGTATATACTGAGTATATGTAGACAGTCTTTACTTGAAATGGTATAAGTATAACAGTCATCCGTGATAACACAGGACAGGTCACTCTCCATATATAATATATAGTATACGTTGGCTGAAGACAGACGTTCATATCCGCCAAATACAAGACTGCAAGGGAGGAAAAATAGGAGCGTTAAACACTTGAAGTAAGACGTCCACACATAACCGCGATTTTGGCATCGCTTTGGAGTTTGGAGTACACATTCGAGTGAAAAAACTTTAAAAGAGGAAGTATTGAGTTTTTGATGTAGATGACGGAACTACGGAACTCAGGGTTTGGTCCATCACTAGGGCGGGGATTGAAAACA